TCACTGGAGGGCACTATTTCAATCTGAGTTCTTCAGACTACCACTATTGGAGGCCCACTATCCTGAGAGTGGAGCCTCCTCATCCAGCTTGAAATCCACTATTGCTTCTCTAGTCAAGACTAATGTTTGGGCTAAGCATGTATGGAAGTAGCAGAGACAAATAAGTTCAGTTGCCGCTACAGAATTACAGCACTGGAGAACAATTTGCTGCATTCCTTCAAAGGCCTGTATGAACCCAATCTCCTAAATAAGTACCAGACACCAAGTGCTCCGTAAGCAAACAGGGCCCCCGAAGTGCATAAATGAAATAAGTAAAAAGCTTCACATTACATATAAACCAGCCGTTTGCACCTTGTTATTAATGGTCTTGACTGTGACCTCTGAACTCAGTTTTGCTTGGAGTCACGAATCCACAAGCCTTGGCACCTTTGCAATAATTCCTAAATGCAGGAGAAGAATAAATAAAACTGTCCAACTTTAGATTAGATCCAATAAAACAGAATTTAGTCTGAAGAAAAAACGACATCATGAAGCGCTTTTGTGGAAGAACTCCAGCTAAAGATGACTTACTGCCTCAAAAACATTAAGAATACAATCTACCTGGCCCAGATTCTTTAGTAATGTATTTAGAGAGAGAGGACATTCTTGCTATTAACTAAAGGGACCACTGTGCAGCATTGGATTAAAAACAAAGCAAAACACAAATTTTGTGCATAAGAGTAACCAGCAGAGTAGTAACACGAGCTCTGTTTTACTTTATTCCAGTGTGAGCACTGCTGGGGCTTCTGTAGCACAAGTTCTCCTCATATTATTTGAGCAGCTGTCATACAGGAGAAGTATTCATGAGCACCATCCAGATATTTTGTGTTGTTGGGTCTCAGTAGAAGAGTGTTAAGCATACTTAAATGACAAGTGGGTGAAGCAAAATGCTTGTAAATATATCAAACTATTATTAAAAATATGTCCTCCATGTGGTCTACTTAGGAAGTTAATTAAGGGAGCTTGGCAAGGTCAATAGCCAGTCCATCTCTACTCTCAGAGGAAAGGCCAGATGAATGTTTGGGCTTCCATCTGCTCTGCCCATAGCTATGAACATGTCAGGTCTGAATTGTTTTGAAAATCACTGAGTTGAGTGGCTCGCATATATGTGGCCTTAGAGAACATCTCTCTCCAAAATCATCCAGCATTCTGACACTTGACCAAGGATTTGTTAATGCTAGAATAATAGCTTTGGACTGCGCTTGTATCTTTTTTTAAAATTCTGCTGGATTGTTCTTCAATCTTTGATATCTTTAACAATGATTTTGCCAGAAAATTGGCAGGCATCTGTAACATCATGCAGAAAATGACTCTACTCCCTTTGAGCCAGCTATGGAGAATTCACAGCATGGCAATATGCACTGCATACCACCTTCATCCCTGTCCTTCATATCAATGTTTCAATCAGGTCCGCATAGTGATTGCCTCATTTAACGATGTATTTGCTTAGCGATGAGGTTTTTGGAGCGATGCGCTCCGTTTAGTGATGTTTCCAATGGGGAAATTTCGCATAGCGATGTTCGGGACCTTTGTTCGCTTAGCGATGACAGTTTAGGTCCCCGTTTCACTTAGCGATGTCCGTTTTCACTATTTTAAGTGTGTCTTAAAATGTTCAAAAACTGTTTAAAATGCTTGCAATCGTTAGTGCACCTTGTAAAACCTTTGCAAACTTAATTTGGCTTTGTTCTGAGTCCTCGTTAATTTTTGGTGAATTTCCCCCCCCCATTGGAATGCATTGAACTGTAGGTTTGACAGATGCTGGAACCATAAAGTGACTTCAACAAAGTTACTTACTGAGACAAGCACAACTGTCTTTCAGATTGACCAACAAAGCATAATCAATGATTTCACGATCTTAAAACAGGGGAAGAGATGAACTCAAGGCCATTTGTTAGATTTTCAGGCAGCCTGAGGGCCACACTCCCTGCGAGATAGGGCTAAAATGATAATCTGCATATTAAATCTTAAATCTTTTAGCAGGGGTTGTGTAGTATAAAAACATAACTAGATTTTTGTTAACTAAAAAATAGATTTAACAAAAATAAATAAATAAATTGAAAAACCGCCTGTCATACACTCTTCTTTCCTATCTTCCAGACACAATTTCTGGTGCTATTTTAAGCTATAAACCCTGAAGGTCTTAACCCTGCATACTTACAGACTGTATGTTCCCTCTTATCTTTTCTTGCTACCCTCAAGAGACAACAAAAGTCCCCTTTTGTTTTCACAACTAGTTGGACAACCTGCAACCCTAGAGCTAATTTCAAAAGCATTTTGCAAGCAAATCAGTTCAGTCCTCTGGCAAAAGTAATCTTTCCCCTCTGCAGACAGCCTGTCAGGTGATTTAAGTGGAGTAGAGAAATGTCAGAAAGTGAGAAGATCAGGGTGTCAAAAGGAACAAGCATGCACAAAAGGGGTGTCAGGGCAGAGGGTCTGAACCAACAATGTGGAGTCCAACAATCGCTTTTGATGAAATGCACCCTTGTTGGAAAAAGGTTCCTAAGTTTTATTTTGCATCAGCTAAACCTGAACATCAAGGTCACATGGAGATGCATACTTGTAGCTGCCCCTCACAGCTGAGGGAAGACCCTTCTCTTAGACTTTAGTGAACAGGATTGACTGGCCTGTAAGGGTGTGTATGTATGTCACATTTTTGTCCCAGTATACAGCACTGGCTGCACCAGATCTGAAAAATGTCCAAAATATTGCAGGAAAAGAAACTAGAACAAAAGATGGTCATTACCATTTTTATTTTATTTATTTATTTATTTGTTTGTTTGTTTGTTTGTTTTGTCTCATGTTTTTGGGGGGAGGGGAAGATTTTGAGATCTTCCAGGCTCCCTTGAGGTAAAAAACAACTCTGCTCCTCTTGGAAACCTGTGGAAAATGTTGCTAACTTTCCCTAGGGTTATAACATGTTAATATATGAAACAAGCCACTGTTCCAATTCAAGGTCAATACTCATGTTGTATCACCTGGAAAGAAAGGTGTGGGTTTGTGCAAGCAGTATCTACCATTTAAAAAACATTAACAGCAAGATACCTCATTAAATTGTGGCACTACCTGGTAATGTTAGGGGAAAACCTGAGGATAAAAAAAAAGAACTGAACAATTAAAATTTTAAAAAACCTCCATAGTGGAGCAGATTTTGCTCTCAACAGTGAGCACTTTAGTGTGAACTGAAAACATGTGGTTTTTTTCCCCCTCCCAACTGGCTGTCAGGAGTATTACTAAAGCAATGTGAAAACAGTGTAAGGCACTGAAATCCTGAGAAGATGGCAGGCTGTAATCTCATGCATGGTTAGCTGCAAATTGGTCACACTGACCTCATTAAAGTCCACTTCCAATTAAGAATGCGTAAAATTACACTATTAGAACCAAAACTATGTCAAAGCATAGAGGGTTGCATGTATTACGGAATAGTAGAGTTGTGGAGCAGTTATCAGCAAGGTTTACAGTCAGTTACAGTAACCTCTGGCCTGTTAAACACAGTGTTCAATTGGGTGTCCACTTCCATGTGCACAAAAACTGCTATGGCATAGGATAACGTGGTAAAGTAGCACTGCTATGGTATAGAAAAGACACTGAATAAACTGCTGCTTTCAATAGAGCAAAAACATTTTACCAATAGAATAAAATAAAAAATTGCACACAGACACACACCTATGGGAGCCACAGAGGCTAAGAATTGCTGACAGCATTAGACTCTGTAGAATGAATGCTACCAGCTCTTCATACGCCACAAGCCCATCCCACTTTACAACACTCATGTCAAAGAGGAGACAGTGAGAAAAACCAGCTCTAGGGAGTGATACATGGGAGGCTGTGCTTCATTTATAACCCTACACATATGCTGGAAAAGGTTCAACTTTAAAAAGCATTATATCGCTTACCTTATGGGCCTCCGTGGATGGTGAAGTAAAATTGCATGAGCACAACATGTCTATTAATCATCACAGTGATACCAGCGTGAGAAACAGTCCCTGTGGCTTACATTCATTCGGAAGAAAGCTTTGAGAGCTACCTCCTGGTAGCTACATAGTTCCAGCAATGTGTATCTCTCCCTTTCCTGTGTTGTCATAAATGAAAGTCAAATCTCAGTACAGATGGGATGGTAGGTGATAATGTTGCCGTGTGAATTAAAATAGGACTCCATCAAATAAGAAGACGACAGTGGAATGCAACCAGAAATGGGCTTGTGGGTACTAAGCTGCTTTCAGCAGTTTGTTATTAAGTTATGGAATATGGAGAAAGCAAAAAATGAAGCAGAATGTTTAAGTCAACAGCACAAATAGGAGAAAAAATTATCTAGAAATCACATGAGAATTAGCACAACCTCATGCTTCTGGATTGAAAGATCAAGAATGATCTTTCATGGAGATAGATTTATTGAAATACAGTGGTGCCCCACATAGCGAGGTTAATTTGTTCCGGATTAACCTTCGCTATGGGGAAACATCGCTAAACGGAACGGAAAAGCCCATTGGAACGTTCCAAATGGGCCCAAAACTCACCGTTCTGCGATGTTTCCCCATATTCTGGCGGCCATTTTGTGTGTTCCGGCGGCCATTTTGTGTGTTCCGGTGGCCATTTTGGAACCGCCGAACAGCTGTTCCTCCATCGCAATGCGATAAAACATCGGTATGCAATCGCATTAGCGATCGCAAAATCCACATCGCTATGCGGATTCATCGTTAAATGGTGTGCTCGTTATGCGCTGTTCAGACTAGATGGATCATGTTTTGGAAGTTTCTAACTGCAGATTAAGAAATGCCTTCAATGCTATGCTGTTTTCCTTCATGAGCTTACATCTCAGACCTTCCACCACTTAACTGAAAGTCACAAGGACAGGAAGGATCAAAACCGAGCTGCCTAAATGATGCTAGGAGGTCAGAGGCCAATTTTGTCAGTCTCCATAAAGGGCTACTAAGAAGTTACACAACACCAGAAACAGTTGCAAGTGAAGTTGACCAAGTCAATTTATTAAACTCTTATGAATTGCAAATTTGAATGGTAAATTTGGGGAAAACACATCATCTAATTCAATCCTTAGATGTGGGAGGAGCTGGACAAACTGCAGCCATGTGCTTGTTAATAATAGAAGAATGTCTTAAGCAATAGGTAAGCAGTCACAAGAGTTCAGTGATCATGTCCAAAGTGTGATGATTTGCATCTTTGCCCTGTCTTTAAGGGTGCCATAACATCATAGGGCATTAAAATCCATCTACTCCCCCTGTAATTCCGCTAATCTAACAGGAGATACAGGACTGTGGTGACCACATCAGGAAGATCACATAATTAAGAGTGTTTCAGAATACTGCAAGATACTTGCAATGAGTTCCCCTCCTTGAGGACACCCACCTCCTCTTCACTGCTGTCACTGCTGTCTATTTGCTTACCATCTAACTTTAGGCCTACGTCCACAGGCAGGCATAGAGGGAAAGGATAAGGTAAGCAAAACCTGTTGCTGTTCTTCTATGCATCTTTAACTCATTATGAACTGAGACACATAAAGAAATAGTGTGAAGCAACAGAAGAGCTGCAAAGACTCCAAATGTTGGTAGTGGGCCACAACAGATGCTCTGTGATACTAGCATCAGATATTACATTATTGGTTAACAAACATTCAACTGTATCTGTAGTTCAGGAGGACATTTCGAAACAGTCTACCAGATTTATTACTTTCTGGAAGCTCTGAAAGAAAAAGTAGTAGCCTCAAGTTCTACAGCTAATGTTCAAGTGAGCACAACTCCTCACCCACCCAGGACACACAGTGAGCTGTGTGTTAAATCTATACAGATTTGAAGGCCTAAGAAGGGAGACAGCAACTTTCAAACACCAGTAAAAGGATGTAAAACAAAACTAAGCCACAAAGTTTGTCATTCTTCACTCCCTTGGTTGCAAGGGCTTTTGTGCCAGCGAGGGAATTGAATGTAAAGTTCCTGAGAACATTAGCTCAAGTACTAAAGCTCCATTCAAATTTGGGACAGCTGATGCCAGAGACCAGCAGGCATAAGGCGTTCAATCTTCTCCATCGTGAAACTCAAAGGTGACAAAAGAGTTCCAAAAAACTGAAAGAAAAGAAAAAGACATAATCAACTTGGATGCTAAAAGTAACAAGGAACCATTCATAAGTAATATCACTAAGTAAATTTGAGTGTCTGTTTAAAAGCCTGAAAACATTTATCCACATGTTTTATTGACACAACTACATTCAATGTGAAATGATTTAAAAATCCAACTGGCAAAATTATTCTGACCCTAATTAGTAAAGCAAAATGTAGAAACTACTTCTTTCAAAAATACATCAGGAGGCATTTTCAATATTCTTATTTGATCATATAAAAGCAATAATATAAACAATTTTGACATATCAAGAATGTTAATTTTTAAACTGCCTTCCCCTTTGTTGTTAAATGCTGTCAAGTCATCCTCTGTCATACAGCGACCCTATAAATCAGTAATGTCCTGTATTCAGCAGCACTGCTTAGCTCATGGGTGTAGATTCCTTTTAAGTAGACAACCCATCTCATATTTGGTCTTCTTCTTTTCTTGCTGATTTCAACTTTTCCTATTATTATCTTTTTTGAGAGAATCTTGACTTCTCATGGTGTGCCAAAAGTATGACAGCCTCAGTTTAGTCATTTTTCCTTCCAGAGATATCTCAAGCTCAATCGACTATAGGACCCACTTGTTTGTCTTTCTGAAAGAGCAGGATATCTGCAAAGCTCTCCCTCAACATCATATTTCAAATGAATCAATTTTTTCCTATCAACTTTCTTTACTGTTTAGCTTTCATGCCTGTACATTGTGATAGGGAATATAACAATGCGAATGGTCTTGGCCTTGGTCTTTATACCTCTAATGATATTTTCTAATTCCTTCATAGTTACCTTTACAGGCCTTTCTTGGCTGAAGTCTCCATTTCAATTGCACTCTTTTCTTGGGGATCAGAATGTACAGTGGTGCCCCGCTTAACGATTACCTCGTTAAACGACGAATCCGCTTGACGATGAGGTTTTTGCGATCGCTTTTGTGATCGCAAAACAATGTTTTAATGGGGAAAATTCGTTTTACGATGATCGGTTCCCTGCTTCGGGAACTGATTCTTCGCATTACGATGATCTGAAAACAGCTGATCGGCGGCTCTCAAAATGGCTGCCCGCTGTGCAAAATGGCTCCGAGCTGTTTTTAGGACTTTCGCTGTACAGGCACCGGAAAATGGCCACCCTATGGAGGATCTTCGCTGGACGATTAGGTATTTAGCCCATTGGAACGCATTAACCGGTTTTTAATGAATTTCAATGGTTTTTTCCCCCGGTTGACAACAATTTCGCTCTACAGCGATTTCGCTGGAACAGATTAACGTCGTCAAGTGAGGCACCACTGTATACTGAATGTTGCCAGTCGATGGGCCCTTGTTTTACTTTTGTATTTGTTGGCATATTTTTGTTAGGATTTTGACAGATTCAGTCTCTGTGGATTGGAAATAGTTTCATCAGTATCTCATCTAACTCTGATGATTTCTTTCTAGTGCTTTCAGAGCAGCTTTTACTACAATTTCAGATTCATAATCATAAGACTCTCCCTCAAAGGAGTCTGTCATCTTTTTATTTCTTCTGTATATGTCTTCAGTATATGGTTTCTACATTTTCTTTATTTTCTCCTGGTCAGATAAGGTGCTTCTCTGTTGGTCTTTCAGCATTCCTAATCTAGGCTTAAATTTCCCTTTGATTTCTTAGATCTGCCGGAAAAGATCTCTTGTATTCTCCCTTTTATTTTTCTTCTCTATTTCTTTGCACTGGTTACTGAATAGTTCACTTTGTCTCTAGGTGAAAGTCACTCAAAAGCTGTATTCAGGATTCGGACCTTTTTTCTGTCACTTTTTACTTTTGTATCTTGTCTCTCCTTTACAAATTTAAGTGGTTTTTTAAATTTCTTTCATCCATCCAGGCTTTTCTTTCCTTTTTACTCCTGGAATTATCTTTTTGCATTCTTTTCTAATAATGTCTCTGGTTTCAATCCACAGTTCTTTTGGTTCACAGATAATTAAGCTTAATGATGCAAATCTGTTCCTTATGCAGATTTTACATTAATCAGGAATGCTGTTTATATTTTGGCACAGGGATTCTTTTAGTGTTCTTTTTCAGCTTTCTTCTAATGTTGGATATTAAAGGTTCATGATCATTACCACAATCAGCTCCTGGTCTTGCTTTGGCAGACTGAAAGTCATCTCCTGCTTCCAATTACATACTCTGTTTGATTTCAGTAGTGACCATCTGGTGATGTCTCTGTTCAGCTGTCTGTTTGGTTGCTTGAAGCATGTATTTATTGCTTGTTGTTGGCTTCACAGATTGTTGGCTTCACAGAAATCTACAAGTCATCCTCCTGCTTTGTTTCTGACCCCTAGCAAGCAGAAATTTTCCAAAATGCGTTTCTGCTTTGCTTCCTGATTTTGTGTTCTACTCACCTATGATTATAAGCATATCTTGCTTTGGTATGTGATCAATTTCCTCCTTTACGCTTGCATAAAAGCTTTCCATTTCATCTCCTCCCATACTATATCTTGCCTCACTATTAGATCCACTCAATTTCTTCTGAACTTGTCATTTCCAGAGTACAACATGTTGTAGTTTTCTGACTGAAAATATCTTGTTCCAGTTCACTTTAGTTCAGTAACACCAAGCATTGCAATGTTTAAATGTTCCATTTCTTGCTTAAATGCTTCCAGTTTACCTTGATTCATACTTCTCATATTCCATGTCCCAACTGTATGTGTTGTGTAGTATTGGACTTTTCTTTCACTTCTGTGAAAAAGGAGCTGAGCTGATATAACTAGGACAGAAATAATACTTTCAAGCCACTGACTATGTTCATCTGTAATTAACCCTCTCTTATTTATACTATTTTACACAATGGATAAAATCTTGTTTTAACTTAAAGGCACATAAGGCTGATGAGGTCATCACTTGCTGTGGTTTTTCAGAACTTAAACATTTACAATCCCCTCCCCCTTCCACAAAGGTCCTGAGGCTCCCTTGGAATTTCTTATGTCAAGGGATTACTGGGTACTGCAGGGGAGGGGAGCTGTCTTTTAATTCTGAAAATCACTAGTATACTTTTTCCAGTAGTGGCAGACATCCTCCCTATCCCGCGACTCCAACAACTCCCCATGACACATTGGGTCCTAAGGGAGCCTCAGGATCTTCAAGAATATTATTTTTACATTTCTGAAGACATCATCAGCTTTACATAGAATAAGTTACGCTTCTGTATTTTACCCAATGGAATGTTATTTTTCTAATTACAGTGGTGCCTCGCTTAACGGGCGCTCCATTTAGCGACGAAACCACATAGCGATTAACTTTTTGCGATTGCAAAAGCGATCGCATTGCGATGTTTCCTATGTGGTTTTATCGCTTTGCAGTGATTGTTTCCCTGTTTCGCTTACCGATCATCACAAAGCGATGATTTTTAAACAGCTGATCAGCAGTTCAAAAATGGCCACCGGGTAAAAAAATGGCCGCCCGCAGTGTTTTTGCGCTGATTCCTCGCATAACAGGCAGTGAAAATGGCCACCGTATGGAGGATCTTCACTTTAAGGTCAGTTTTTTGCCCATAGGAACACATTAAACATGTTTTAATGCGTTTCTATTGGCTTTTTTAAATCACATAGCGACGAAATCGCTTAGCAGCAATTTTTGCTGCATGGATTAACATCGCTATGCGAGGCACCACTGTACTCTGTAATCTGCCAAGAGCTTTTGTCATTCTTAACATCAGAAAGTAAGCCAGAAAGTGAAAACTCAAAATAGTATTTCACTAAAACCTAGATGTTCATGCTTAGCAAATATATTATCCTCAGTTGCCATGAGGAGAACAGTTTGGAAACTCAGTTCCCATTCTAACCAACTTTTAAGTTCTGTTGCTCTAATAATGGTACATTTAATAATATGATCATTCTTTATTCTGCAGGAATCACAGATAGAAATCAATTTGCAATTATTCAATCTAAGTAGCATTTCTCTCTTAAAGGACACAGGGCGAACTGTTTGCTAGCAAAGCAAGAAACCACTGCCTTCTAGCTCTACACATCCAACTTGCTGGAGACTATTTTGAATGGTTTAAATGCAGAATAATATTCATTACATGATTCCAAGCCATATATATTCTTTCACAGATAAGCAAAAGTTTTTCAAGTGTTTATAAATCAAGGATGTTAAGCAGCTGTGTAGGAACTTAATATGTCAGTGTCTTCTAATGAGCATCAACAACATAGTATGCAGATTTATTACCAAAAGAAAACAAGTCATTCTACAACTGCTTAAGCTGATTTACAGGGATCTTTCTGGCCTGCTATTGTAGCCCCCAAACAGCCAGACCTTTGAAATCATATACATAACCCTACAATATAAATGGTGATATATTGCTCTTTTGATATAAGGGTAATCTCCCTGAATGCTCAAGCTGCCGTGTTGTGCCTAAAACTAGGATGCACAATCTTGGGTACTCCCCATGCAATTCACAATGCTGCACAAACCCGCTCATTTTCTCGCCAAAGCCCAGTTACTCGGCTTCCAAGGTACTGTACCTGTTAGCACCAGGAAAAGGGTAATCCTACTGCAGGTCATTCTGGAATAGGAGACACCTTCACTCCTACTATCCACTCCATCATCCCATATTCAGATAACAGGGCCACAGCTGTTTGGAGCTTTAGAAGTCAAAATAAGCACTTTGAATTGCACTGGAAATGAGTGCCAATCAAAAAGCACCGGTATAAGGTCCACGCACACTCCAGTCACCTTAACAATTTGCTGCCATATTCTGGACCAGATGAAATTTCAGGACAATTTTCAACAGCCCTATGTTTAATGAAGCACAGGGGATTTTCAACAGCACAGATAATTTTAGCCAGGTTATTTATGCCCAGACAGGGTTACAGGTGGTATATATGACCCTCAGCTCATAAAAGAAACTCCACACCACTAACTGCCTCAAGCAACGATGGATCTCAGACATGGCCGAATAATTGAAAAAATAAAGTTATTACCACTCACACTTTGTGTTTGGG